GCGTCTTCCTATTCAGAGAATATCTGGGCGACCACGTGTGATACTATGCTAACCACACAAGAAGCTAGAGTAATACCCTCCTCTTCGGTTAAGATCTGGGCGACCGTTGGTTGAGCTCTGTTACCCATCTTGGACACGCTATTATCAGCGTTCGTGGCAGCTGCGGCTATCTACAGATTTATGTTATCCGCTAAGCCAGCGCTTCTTAGCGCCGCCACCACCAAAGCTTCCTCCGAGCCGTCTTATACGTCGACGACTCCCAAGCATCTACGAAATGCTTCGTCTCCCTGGCATCCTGTGCGGGCGTCTCGCGTCCTAGCAGAGGTGGGGACTTGACTTATTAATGCTTCGTCGGACATTGCAGCTAGCACCAATTTTGTTTTCTCGCCAGACGATCCAGGAATCAAGAGCTCCAAGCTGGGGCCATGCTCAGCATCAAATCATAGGTTCCATGTCGAGACGCGTAAACTGCTCTTGGCTGTCGAAGTTTTCGTACTTGACAGCCAGATCAACTGGATGATGGAAATGGCTATATTCTTCTTTAAGGGCCACTTGAATCACCTCTTCACGGGTGCTTGACTGCACCCGGAACAGCTGAGTGCGCGCCGTGTCCACGCGAAGGCCGTCCATAAATACAGTCGTCTTGACGTGTTCGTTGAGTCGGTTTCCCACTAGGGACACCGTGAACTCCCGTATATTTTGGACATACTCGTGCAGCTCGCGCATTCCTTGCTTGCATGAGAGAAAGCGCGAACCCTGCCGCTACTCGTAGTTCGCCGGCAGGAACGCGGCTCGGGGCCGTTAGCAAAGCTGGGCCCAGGATGTAAAATATCCAGGCGGTGTCGCCTCCCGCGTGTACGCGCAACTCTTCGCACGACAACAAAGGTTGGATTTGTCCGCGCGAGCGAGAAATTTTTCCGGAAGGCCTCCGTTTCGCTAATGAAATCCTCTCCTCACCTGCTGATGTACCGGGTTCCTTGCCTTCCAGGTTCACCCTAACCTGCGGTGAATCGAGACAAGTGACGTCTTCGGCTATACAGCCTCCTTTGACTATACAGTCCGGGTCGACCATACAGTCACCCACGGCTATACAGCCCCCCTTGACTTTACAGTCCGGGTCGACTATACAGTCACCTCCGGGTATACAGCCACCCTTGACTATACAGCCCGGGTCGACAATACAGTCACCCACGGGTATACGGCCTGCTTTGACAATACAATCCATGTCGTCTATACAGTCATCCACGTATACACGCCCCCCGGGGTGCAGCCCATCCAGGTCAGACGATCTGTACACTAGCGAAAATATACGACGAAACGACCGACGCGATAATACGAAGTCTACCAAGGTCCAAATTCCGATGAATCCTGATATATCTACAAGCATGCCTTCGACTTCGGGTACAAGTCAAGCAAATCCAGACAAGCTACACCCGGCTAACAGAGTTGGCACAGGAAACATACTTCGGATCGAAAGAACCCCACGTCGCCGTGTAGTCTCACGTCAAACCGCGGACCAAATGCATGAGAATGCACGGGACCTGAATCGAGAAGTTCAATCGGCTACGCTCGGGAAGGCCATGGCCAGTTTCGGCATAAAGCTACCAGCGCCTGATTTTCCTACAACGCAAGAAGGCGCTGATGGACCTGTATACGTGCTTAATAAGCCATTGCAACGCTCTCTGTCGGAGCTCGCACGCCGTTCAGCTTTACTGCTACCGGCGTTCGTGGAGCTGGTTCGGGGACAAACGGAGCGGGATTACCGTCCGAACAAGAATTTGGTTCCAGCTGTTCTTTGCGAACTGTGCAGAGAATATAAGCACTTGGCGCAGATGCAGAAGATTGCTCAAGAAGGTGTCGAAGTCCAGCTAAAAGAAACACCACCTCGGCAGTCAGTTCGCCCAGTGAATCATGGCTCGGCTCGGGGCAGAATTAATATCTTGCGCAAGAATATCAGGAAAGAGCAAGATGCTGGGAGGTGCCTGGTCCTCGACATGGATCTTCTGAAGCAGTGGCCAGAGATAATCATTAGCCCCTTCGGCGTTGTGGACAAGGGAAGCGAGGACAGCACGGTTTCCGGACGTACGATCCACGATCTGTCATATCCTGAAGGAACCTCGATCAACGATTGCACCGATCAAGACAGCATTACCAAACCCGACTACATCCACTGCGACGCGGTAGCACGGGAGATCCTGAAAGCAAAGTAAGAATTCCCCGATGTACCAATCTATGTGATGGCGGGCGACGTCGCTACAGCCTTCCGGAATATTAGCATTCACAGCAACAGCGTCTACCTGTTTGCCGGGCTGATCGAGGAAGAGAACGCCCTGGTGATCGAGCTTTCCGCGCCTTTCGGATGGACAGGCTCTCCTGGATTCTATGAGATTTTCGGCGGAGCGATTTCCCACGTTCATGGCTGCCATACCAACGCAGCTTCTCCGGCCGGTTTCTTCAATTATCACTGGGTGGATGACCACATTAACGTAGCTGCAGACATAAGAACGACCTGTTCCGACATAGACCGCTCCCTCCGTTACGCAATGGTGGCCATTCTGGGCGCTGACGCCATCAACATCGAGAAGTTCACTGATTGGAAGACACGCCAGCGCGTTCTCGGATTGGAGTTCGACTCAGTCGATGGAGTGGTCGCACTATTGGTTTCCAAGATCCATAAGGCACGCAGGATTGTCGCTTCAGCTTACCACTCCCCGACGCTGACTAGAAAAGCGTATCGGTCATTAATGGGCAGCTTACGTCATGTGGCGACTTGCATTCGGGCCGCACGACCGTTCCTTCAGCGTCTCCGCCACCGTGAGGCACAACTCCATCGTTTTCAGGGCGTCTCCGTGACAGACGCAATGCGAGAAGACCTGCTCTGGTGGTGGCTTATTCTGCACAGCCCTCAGCTAAACGGTGTATCTCTGGAATACTTCAACGCTCTCCCACCCCCGGATGTTGTGGTCGAAATGGACGCGTCGGATGTCGGGCTGTGTGCGCTTGACGTATGGGCGAGGACCGCGCTCACCTACGCATTTACCCCATCTGAGCTATCGCTGATAGCGAATTCAAAATGGGAGCGGCCAACGGCTTTGACATCAACTTCCGCGAGCTCCTCTCGTGTGCCTTCGCGGTGCACGCATGGGGAAAACGATGGTCCGCGAGCAGCCTCATCGGCAACAGACCGCGGCACGTGCACTTCCGTATCGACAATTCATCCGCTGTCGCATGGCAAAACAAGCTGGCCTCACGCAACCCCAGGGCTAAAGTGATGATCCGCCTGCTTAGCTGGTGGGAAGCATCATATCGGCTTCGGTTTTCAGCGTCTCACGTCGCCGGAACAGATAATACGCGCGCTGATGTCGGCTCCCGTATTCCAGCTAACCCATCGTTTGCAGCTGTGTTTGCTTCGCTAACACATGGGTGGTCGCAGGTGGCCCCGAAGACGGACATTCAAGGCCTAGCCAGTATCTGGCAGCATATCTCCGCGCGCACTCCGTTGCCGACTCCACGTTTGATCAATACAATCGAGCCTTCAACAAGTGGAAAAGGTGGACTTCGCGACGAGGTCTTTCTCCCTGGCTTCATGGCATGACTCTCACTGACATGGTGAAGCACATATCGGATTTCGTTTTACATGGATTTCAGTTTGGCTTTGGATCCGGCGGTCCCATCCGTAGCGCCTCCATCATGGCGGTGCTCCATGGCGTTCGCCATTTCTTCGCCGCCTCCGGATGTGAGTTCCCGATTGAACACCCGCACATCCGCTTGCTTCTCAAAGGAATTGGCCGTCTCGACACGCTCCGACGCCGCAAGGCACCCGTGTCAATCCACCTCTTAGAAGCATGCTTTCGAGGCCTGGCCATGGAACATCCCCGTGGCCAAGCCCTGTGGGGGGTAGTGTGCCTGGCATTCTTCTTTCTTCTGAGACGATCAGAGATCGTAGCCATCCAAGGCGAATCCTATAAGTGGTTCGCTCTACGAGTGCAAGACATCGTGGTTGTGGATACCGCTGGGCAGCCGACTCAGTGTCCGTCACAGGCTTAGGCTGTTTGGATTCGCCTGATCGGGTCCAAGACCAATCAAGGTGGGGCTCCAACGACTAGGATGCTAACTCGCTCTGGTCACCAGTTTCTGTGCCCCGTGTTCGGAGCCCTCATCCTCCATCAAGCAAGGAGGAATCTTCCTGCAAGCATCCCAGCCGCCGTGTACATCTCACGCTCGGGACAACCAGCCTGCGTATCGACCGAAGATGTGTCCGAAGCCATCAAAGGCGCTGCCGCTCGCACTGGCGAAGATCCCCGCCGGTTCAGCTCTCATTCTCTACGCGCCGGGGGAGCCACGCACATGTACCGATCTGGCACGGATGCACTTACAATCCAGTTCCACGGCCGCTGGGTTTCCGACGCGTACAAGACCTACACCAGGATCTGCAAGGAGTCCGTCACCACGCTTTCAGCGAACATGGTGGCAGGCCCACCGGGGGATTCGACGCTACATTAGTGGAGCCACTATGCATGACCACTTAAGGGGGCACCGCTCTCCTCGTCCCTTTTCGGATCGAGCTGATGGTCATTGCGTAAGCTCTCATTAATGTATTTGCTCGTTTGACCCCCAAGGATTGTGGAAAGGTGTATTCCATAGCGAAGCAGGGCGAAGCAAGGGAATTGTGTTTTCCACACCAGTTTTTTAGTACCGGTATACCGAAACGGTACCGGTATACACTGCTCCTGACCACACGTGGCGAGCTCTCTCACTTCGTATTTGGAAGAACAAGCAGCAAGCAGTCAAGAAATACCCGCCTCTCCTCGTCCCTTTTCGGATCGAGCTGATGGTCATTGCATAAGCTCTCATTAATGTATTTGTTCGTTCGACCCCCAAGGATTGTGGAAACAGTCGTTTTGAAAGCAAACAATATTTAAAAACGTGTATCAGGGTTGATCACTGTCAATACGACAAATATCGTACTCTTTTCTTAGCTTGCAGTTCTTAAATGCATATTACTGCTGTTAAAAATGCCTTTAAATTCAGAGATTCCCAGTGTGAAATTCGATATTTGTCGTCAACCGGTGCTTTATGACCAAATTAATGCGACGTCAAACAAGCGGCTACATGTCTAATTATCACTAAGGGAGATGTAAACCTTGTTATTCAAGCCCCGCTAGCCCCTCCACTAACTTACGCGTGTGGCGTAGAAGAAGGTGTAGAAACTACGATAGACATCCCAGTACTTCGGATCAGCGTATCTGAGTTCTTTCACATTCCATCGCTTTTCCTGAATCCATTGCTTGAACTGTAGATTCTGCAGGCTGGTGATCGTTTGTGCTGTATTCAGATCAGGATTTTTCTTAGCCACCGCACAAAGTGCACGTGCGAGATCCAGATTATTATCGAAATGCTTTGATAGCTCCGCTATAATAGCGTACTCGTCTTGATTCATCTTCTTGCGTTGCAACTTGTTAAAGTATGAGACCCATATACCAAATGCGGGATCCGATAAAGCGTTGTCGCCTTTCCCGCTTAGCCTCAACAGCTTAAAAGCCTCGTGTGCTGGCATTCCATCGCGCAACCACAGTGCAGACGCCACTTGTGCTGCCGTGGCTTTAAGATTCCCTGTTATCGAGCTGTGGGTAACCATCTTCTTCAGTGTTTCATCGTCGTAATATTTCGTCATCACCGACGACATCACGTTGTCTGCTTCCTCCTTGTGCATACTTTTTACGTAGGTGAACCAAGTTACCAGTATCGGGTTTTCAAAAAAATTAATGCCATCTTTGTCCAGGGAGAGATGGGTGAAGACATCTTCTGCAGTTTTCTTTTGACTCAGCCAATTGCCTTTGATCAAGCGGACCATTGGACCCAACGTAAACTTTAAAGTGTCGTCATTCTTCCCAGCGAAAAACATCTTCAGTATCTCTGCATCGCTAAAACGTATTTCCAATTTTCGGTACAGCACTTCGGTCGGGTTTTCGCTAATTTTTTTCACGTACAAGAACCATGAAACTAGGCCTGGGCTCTTCAGTGTGTCGATACTCTGGTCAATGTCTAGACGAAGCATCTTAAAAACGTCATCGCTCGTTTTACCTTTCTCCTTCCAGATTTTAAACTGCGTCGATTCCAACTTCACAGCCATGGATACCAAATCGGAGTCGGACTTCGCCCTAACTAGCATTTTAGGTAGTTCTTCTTCGCCGTGCCTCTTCGCCAACTTGAGTACCAGAAACTCATACGGATCCAGTGTATGGTGCTTAGTCGCGTAGGAGATAAAGGTTTGTAGAGCTGGGTGCTTCAAGAGCCCGAGCTCCTTGTCGGCAGGTACAAGTGAAATCTTCAAGACGTCATCTTCCGCTTTTCCTGTGGTCAGCCATTTCTTTATCTGCGCAAACTCCAAACCGCTAGCAATATCTCTCGTACTGGCCGTAGTGCCGGCTGCCATCAGCCTTTTATGTAGTGCGTCTTCTTCGTACTGCTTTGCCAGTTTGAGCAGCAAGAAATCGTACGGATCCTCCTTGAGCTTGGTCTTCACGAACGAGATCCAGGTGGGCAGCAATGGGTTTGCCAAAACATCAACATCTTCAACATTTAGCTTCAGAAGATTGTAGATATCTCCCGCCGTTTTCTTTTGAGTAACCCAGTTATCGAACTGGATGCTTTAACCGTCGTAGCAGCATGCGATGCGCCTGGGCTTTGTGCTCTACCAGTAGCTTGGTCAGGCATCATCGAAAAGTCCCCTTACTTTTGCTCAAGCGCAGTTGAAAACGCTACGTTTGAGCGGTCTCATAAATTTAAAGATTTAATCTTTATCTGATGTCGGTTTTGGATGGAACCAACCGTGCTATATCATAGTTAGG